TGTAATATATAGTTTTAATTTAATTTATTATAAAAATTTTTTATAGTTAAGCTTTATTTAACATTAACATTAATAGTAATAGCAGAATTTTCAGCACCTACATTATTATGTACTCAAAATATTATTAGTTCATATAAAACATATAATAGAATATAATTGGCTAATTGTAGCTTAAAACTTTATTTTTACATATTTTCAAATTCTTTCAAAATATTTTTAGAAATTTGATGATAAGAGTAATATCATTTAACTGCAAAGACAGCTAGCTACCTTATCTGAAAGTTTAAACTCGTAAGTACTTATGTAACGTGTAGAATAATATGCAAACTGGTAAATTTTTATTAGGCTAATTAAATCTAATGCACGTGATATGACTTTCTTAAGATCATTAATAAATAATTGCAATGAAGACGTGAATACACTTTGTCTCTACCCAAAAGGACTCAATATAATTAAGCTCGCAGTGAAATTTTGTATAGAACATACACATATATTCTGCTTTTTCAATAACCTAAAAAGATAAGTATTTTTTAATTATATTTAAATATTGAAATAAATAAATACATATATAATTAATTGCAATTTACCTTTTGTAGATGTATCCTTTGTGATACAAAGTCAGGCTGGAAAGAAAAAAGGTATATTGCACAACAGTATAATTTATCTGAATCAGGATTATATTATATACACACATTGCATTTCCTTTTTAAACCTGACATTCATAAACCATACTCCTCAAAAACTCATCAAATACCTTTAAGTTTTACCATCCCATTAATATTCATAAATGACATGATATGAGACAAATTATTAGGCATTATACCATTATGAAGGAGTGGTTATTTTTCATTATCCTTCAAGTTTATTCTCAAAACCACTAATTTATTATTAGCAAATGCATTGTAGTTGCAACTGTTATCAAACAAAAATAGGGTAACTTTTCTTAGGTAAATATGTTCAAATATTGGAATTGTTCATTCTTTTACCTATTTAACAATATCCTTATTTGTCTACTAACTATCATAACTTGTATCAGAATATATTGTAATACAAGCTTTAGCATATATAAGTCACTCTTCATCAAGAAGTGAATTGTTGATAGTACATTTCTCTTTGAAAGCTGGAATCATCTAATAGATTCACAAAGAAAGTTACTTATGTGAATACTAAGATCTTATGATTTATGATGAATTTGACTCTTATCTGCTAGACTCAAGCTTTAATGACATCATCATTGGTATAAAAGAATGACTTATCATGAGTAATGGTAATAATCTCAAGAATATTGTGTGAAAGAATAGGTGAGATTATCTGATCTAATTTCTTACTTTTATAAGAAACCATTTGCTTTTATAATTCTGCTCATTATTACAAAAATTATTATCTATATATGCTACTATATCTTCATGCTTGTGACCATGAAAATAAATATTTTTTAAATGATCTTTATATTCTTAATCAAGCATATGCAACTATTCACATGCAGTTGAGTATGAAATACTTATTTTTTCTTCTATTTCAAGAGTAGGAATAATCTCACCTTCAATAAATTTTACAAAGTCAGTAATATTTAACTTAAATTATATATGCATAGATATTCAGTAATCTGCAATTTAATATCTTTATATAAAAGAAGAGATCTAACTTTTGCATGATGTTCATATTTAGATATAATGATCATATTATTACTAAGCTATTGATTATCTCAGAAGTGAATGATTTGTGCTTACCATAGACCTTTATTTAAGTTTTAGACAAACAAATTACTTGCATCTATCTTTGTATATCCTTGATCTTAGACTAGATGAAGGAATTAATTTATCATCTGAAATCATAAATCATCTTTTTTTTTTTTAATAATAAATCTAAAGATTCTAATAAAAATTTATCATCATCATCATTATCACTACTAATATATGTATTATCAAATGTAGGATTATCATTATCTATATTAGGTTTAACAGTTTCATTTATTATAAACATTTCAGTAATCTTTTTAGAATCTAAAGCTGCTTTTTTTTATAAGTTCTCTTATTATGCAATATCAATTCTGTATCACTTCACCAGTAGCCTCTTTGGTAAGCAGTTCAATTGCCTTTGCTATTTTTCTTTTATTAGCTTTCTTCAAACTTTCAATTTCTGACACATCTAAGATATTGTATTTCAATTAGTTAATATAAAATAGCTATATAAACATGTCAAAACAACTGGAATTTATGCTTTTAGTTAGATGAGAAATCATTCCATCTCACGAAAACATACTTCACTAACAAGCATCCAATCCTATGAAAATGCATTTCACTCATAAGTATATGGCTTATTCTGTACTAAAAGCATAACTAGACATAATATCCTACTGGAAGTAGCTTAAACTTTATATTCTTGACTTATAAACGAAAACAACTTCTCGCCTATTCACACAGCTTGTCAACAAGTACACAACCTGTATGGATATTTAGCTTATAGACTATTTGACTGTTTCTTCTACTTAATACTAAATAACATTACCTTTAGTTGACCTTTCATTTGAATAAGACGTAATTGAGCAGGATATTCCTCTATGAGCTATATGCGTAAATCTTCAATTTTCTTATTAAAAGAATTGTGTATACAAGCTTTGCTGAAATCATGTAAATAGATGGTAAGAATGATTTCCTGGCTGTTTTAATCTGTAGAAAGGTAGGATAATATTTTTGTCTTAGAGTATTGAATTATAATCAATAGCAATTATATGAATAACTACCTGGTTTTCTGAAGTTTGAGGCTGTTGACCTTGTTCTTTTTGAGAGACAGCATCATGTATAATAAAAAAATTAGAAATCCTCAATCTTTTTGTAATTTTAGCATTATTCTAAGATGAAGATTGTAAATTTATGGAAAAAATGTAAAATAATAACTATTCTTTCGTCTGTAATGCAAGCAAATTTGCTTGCAAACATAAAAAAAAAGTATTAATTTGTTAATAAAAAATAAAATATTAATGTTAATAATATAATTATTATATAAAAAATATAGTTTAATATATATTTTATCAAC